GACTTTACCGATCGGACCTGCGGTGTATAAAATCCAGAGGTCGAATATTCCATCTCCAAACAAAAAACACTCTGATCGATTTTCTTCTTGTACTTTGGCTGGATATCATTTTATCTTATTGTACTCTCAATTGTATCGATTTGCCCATTTGTACTCTGGTTCGATATTACTTTACCCCTTTCTACTCTCAATTCATCGGTTTGTCCTCTTATACTTTGGCTCGATATCACTTTACTCCCTTCTGCTCACAATTGCATCGATTTGCCTCATGTACTTGAAAATTGTCTCAATGTGGCCCTCGCCGTTAGTTTTCAGACCTTTGACCTTAACACCGTTTGATCTAAGTTTGAAAATTACAAAAAAGCCACCCCTTTCAGTTTAAATAATTATTAATAAAATAAAAAAGATAAAAAAAAAATTTGGCTGGCGTCGTGGACTATGTTTTCTCACTGTATTGATTTTTTTATTATTTTGTTTTTTATTTTTTTAATAATTATTTAAACTGGAGGGGTGACATGACGGTTGTTAAGGTCAAAAGTCTGAAAACTAACGGTGAGGGTCAGATTGAGATAATTTTTTATATCGAGACAAAGTACAAGGGGGCAAATCGATGAATTGAGAGTAGAATGGGGTAAAGTGATATCGGACCAAAGTACAAGAGGACAAATCGATGCAATTGATAGTACAAGAAGGTAAAGTGATATTCAGCCAAAGTACAAAGGAGGAAAGTGGAATTTACCCTAGAAAAATTCTCAATTCTCCTTTTGGTGCTTCAATTCTTACATAAAGTTTTTGCTTGGACAATTCGAAACTTGGAGAAGGTTTTTTTATTAATAAATCGACATTCAAAATCATTGAACTTAGTGTCTTTTATTCTATTTCCAAATCAAAAATAATTTCGCAAAAAAATTCATTCTCTTGTCTTTTGAGAAAGAAAATCCAGTAAAATATAAATTTTCCGTCCTAAATTATTTATCATTTTAAACTTTCAATAGAGTATTAATTATATTATTTTCAATTTAACTTTTTTTTAAGAATCTTAATTAATTAGTTGTAAAATCAATTTCATCCATAAAATCCTAATTTAAGCAATATTGAGCATTAACCCCTATTTTAATAAATATATCACATTAAGCTACACTTTCACAATTTTTTGTTTTTATTTTTCTGAGAAACATAAAATTAAATAAAATCTGAATTTAATTTTTCATATCGTTGATTGGCTTTGGTTTTTTTTTTTTTTTTAACTAAATTTTCCTAGAATTTTTTACCCGACGTTGATTGGTGGCTAACATCAGTCGTGTTGGCTTAAGAAAAATTTAAAAAAATATCACGTATGTAGACTTTTTTTTTTTAACTTTTTTCTTGCGCCAACTAAACAATATTATTGTGTAACACAATAATATTACTGTGTTACAATTATTTTACTGTCCGAGTTAGTGCAGTTCAATACAATATAAAATTACGATTAAACATCGTAATATTACTCTTTTAAACAGTAACATGGTAATTACCATGTAACAGATCATGCAAATCAACGGCCGTCAACAGCGGTAAAATATTTATTGGGCTCAAAATAATTATTTGATTTGAAGTTGATTATGAGCCATTATTGCTATATTGGATTTGAACTAAAATCCGAGTATTGGGTCTAACCCCTTCACAAATTTAATTCTAAGAAGAGCCCAATACAAATTAGACCATATTGGTTGTTTCGATTTATACTTCAAATGATGGAATTTAATAGATTTTAAATTTATTTATATTTTAAATGGGTTTATAAATGGCCTACAATCGAGCTCCATGTAAACTGATCCCTCGACTTAGGTGGTTTTTGCAAACGTTTTCCCAAAGCGATTATGAGCTGTTTTTTGTTCAAATTCAGTTTTTTTTAAACATTAAAAAGTTCATAATCACTTTAAAAAAGCGTTTGCAAACACCACCTTAGTATTACTTTATTCACCCGCGAATACCACTCGGACAATATTGATGCAACAAATATTCATAAAATTTATTTATTAAATGAATAGTTAAAATAATAATTTATTATGTAATTACCAATTTTATTTACATTGACAATTATTATTTGCACTAACTATATATTTTTTACTATTCTTAAAGACTAGTTAACTAGAGTTTTGTTTGCATGAACTAATCATAATTTAAGTCAGAATATGGAGGTTTCAGATTTGTTTTCAGAGAAATGATCCATTGTGCTTTGCCAGCTGAGTATTTATCATGATTGCCATTTAATCAATATGTGGCCAAGCTTTATATCTTATTGCATCTATATTTGTATGTTTCTTTCACTTAATTTACGTAACATGTATTGCGTATTTCTTCTCGGCCACCGGCTACTGTGATCACCGCATCCGAAGTGCTGAAACCAGAGCATCGCTCTCCCTGTACGGCGTCATACTGCCGGAAACTATCAAGTCCTCTACTCTCCGACGCACGGATTTCCCGATGCCGCCGCATTGCGTGCTAAGGATCTCGATTGCTCTGATGCCCCGTCGACTTTTCTAAATTACATCTATGCCTTCGCTGATGAACTCAAAGGTGAGTTTCTCTCTCTCTCTCTCTCTCTCTCTCTCTCTCTCTCTCTCTCTCTCTCTCTCTCTCTCTCTCTCTCTCCTTCAAACCTTGAATTGTAAGATGCAGATATGTAAGTACTTCAAAATTATACAATGAACAGTAGAATTTGTTGTTAAAAACAAAAATAGAAACGGATTTGTTATGATATTGTTGCTCGATTCATTGATTTCACATATATATTTTATATAATACATGGATATATATACTTTATCAATACATGTTAGCATCTTTAATGGAATATTCTGCTGGAAAATGGGATCAACGAGTGCTTGAGTATGTTTAACAACTGCTTAAGAAAATCTGGTGATTTGGAGTAAGCAATAACCACTTTTGAATAAGTTATCTTAAGTTTGATCCGGTTAGGCCTATTTACCCAAATCGAATATGTTTTTATCATATAATTAAGAAAAGCCGTTAATTAAGAAAGTGCTCGATTTTTATTTTTTTTCATTTGTAAATATGAAGATGTTCTTCAAGATGTGAATTGGCATCTATTGTTCATCTGTTTTGCATTGTTTGTTCTCTGTGATAACAGGTTTTGATTTTTTCTATATGGACCAAGATCTTGGATATAATGGATTACTATTTCAGTGAAAGATTCATGGTTTGTTTCCTCTTGATAAGAATTATATTATGGAGGGTATTTTAGACTAAAGACATGGGGATGAGTTTAATTGAGAGACTCTTTTTTTTTATGGACTAAAATGCATTTAAATCCCATGTGATGGGCATCTTTGTCATTCGCCCTTTTTTAAAACCCTTACAGGTTAATCCTAATGGGTGAATATATATTATAAATAATACAAAAAACGACATGTGGCAACAAAAAATCCAACCAATGTTTATCATCGGATTAGGGTCGAAGAAGTCGTCGTCACACGTCACCCTCTTTCGGTTAATATCACTATTTTCAATGATCCTTATTTGTTTTTCATTCCTGTATGTTTTTAATTACGGAACGTTTCTCATATTGTTTAATGTAGGACATTAGGGACTACTAGTTATCCCACAATCAATACGTGACTATGTGTTAGAGAAATAGCAAATCATAGTCGTATATTGCATTCAGCAGACGTAAAACTCAATGTAGCCCGTCGGTTTGTTCTACGCTACACAGGGTGAAATACATCGAATTCATCTTTATCAATATTCATGTACACACAAATACATACACATCCATTTTTTTTTTTTGAGTAAACATACACATCCATATTGATATGTGTATATCAACAGTAAAAAATCACCCAGTATAATACTTATCGGGTGTAGTATAGAAATAACCGTAGCCCATCATATACAGGCCTCCGCCACATGAACAATCGATGTGAAACACTTACTAACATGTTAATAGCAATACCCAATTGATAATTCATCCCTTTGTAGCAAAAAAAAATTATTTTTATTTTTTGCCCAAAAGAAAACATTTTACATCATAAAATGATGTTCGGGGGAGCCTCGTTAAAAACCTTGCTGACCCCTTTTTAGCAAGCGACCCTTAAAAACTCTATGCTTAAAGGTTGTGTTACAATGTCTTTTTTTTTCTTCTAACATTAATAAGACGCGTTTTTTTAACAACTCGATACAACAAAAGGAGTACCAAATTTTACATATTTTTCGGTTTGGAAATATTAAATAAACTTAGGTGCTGTTTGCAAATGCTTATTTAAAATCAGAAGTTAGTGAT